GGTAGCCGCGTCGCCAAGAAACCCGTACCGGATCACGGTCGCAACAGCGTCCAGCGGCGCATTCGCGAGCTCTTCAGCAAAGCGGTTCTGACTCTCGGAGAGCTACAAGAGCTGCTGAACCTCTCACCGGTTCAGGTGGGCCGCCATGTCGAGGACATGAGCCTCAACCTTATCGAGTTTAAAAAGAAATCATATGCACATTTTTTGAGATAGCGTAGTTGTATAAATTGCGGGCGGCTGGCAGCATTGTAACACCATTGTGAAATAATTTGAAGTAAATTTGGTGTTATTGTAATGAGGTCACGGGGTGGCCCGAGCCTACGATCATCCTTTTTTTTCTTTTTGAATTTAGTATGGTTCCAACCACCGCCGCAGCCGCACTGCTTAACGTACTTCTTTGCATTTTCTTTAAAAGCCACTCGGGCACAAAGGTTAATTCCTGTTACTACGAATATCATATATTTTTCAATAAAATACGTTTTGCTAATTGAATTGTATCCAAAAATCCAATCGGTTTTTTCTTTCTTTGGATCCTCCTCACTTGGCGCACCCTGTGCCATTATTACTCCCACAAAAATCAACAATTACCAACTCTTAATTTTAGATTTATTTATAATAAAATATATTATAATTTTTAATTAGTATTATTTTTACGTTATATGTTGTGTTGGGTTCAGTTACGCTAATTTTAAGGTTTTGGTATGATTATTACAACATAAGGGTTAATGCACAAGTCTACACAAACGTAGCGATTGTAATTTCCTCTTTTTGCTTTGTTCGTAACACTTAACTATAACTAGTTTTATAAGAACTTATTAAACTCTCGTCTAGGAGAATTCGTTTTGTACTCGACCCGCTTACACGTTCGCCGCCGCTCACTAACTTTTCGCTAGTTGTACCCGCATTTTTTAGATTAGTAAAAACCCGCGCCTGAATATTTAGATTCATTAGTTTAAGTAAACTAAATAAAAGGAACTGAATTCCGAGATACTCCGCGTTTTATTTGGACATTTATTTGGAAGGGAATCCGCCGCATCAAGCTAGTCTTTCATAGCCGGATTGGTAATCCCGCTCACATACAATTGTGTAATACGAACACATATATATACAAACGTGTATAAGCGAAAATTTATAAAATTCTAGTGATTTTAAATAAAGTGCAATCGAGAATTGAGCGAAAAATACATACCCTGTAAAATCAAAATTTACAAGATACGTAAATGCATTGCGCGCTAAATGAATAAAGCTAAGTTTTAATAATTGACGGCTAAATTTCAAATCTAAAACAGCAAATCGTTTGTGCAGTTTGTGAAAAAAGTATATTAAGAGCATAAATTCGTCCGTGGCATTGATACAATCGTCCTTCATTTGACTTTACGAAGTTTCGAGACTTATAACGTCCTTCAATCGACCTTTGCAAGTGCCATATATCGGTACTGTGTCCTACGAACGACTCGGTGAAGGCAAAGTGGAAAATGTTGAACTCCGTTAAAACTCGCGATTGAGCTCTCAATGCAATCAAACGCTATATGGTTAAGAGCACTGACGAGGCATTCACAATGGATGCAGAAAGATTAAAAAGTTATATGCAACTGCTTAGCGAACAGTGGGCTCGATTCAATAGTGCTCAAGATGCGGTCGAAGTTTCGTGTGGAAGTGACAATACTGAAGTTGAAGAAAATGTGCATATACAAGCCGAGGCGTGGTTTTCTACGGCGTTGGCTAATTTCAACCGTGTACAGAAGTGTCGGGCAGAATCACAGTATCCGTCCGCGCCAAAAACTCTGTCGGCAGGCATACGGCTCCCTAAAATGGAGCTGCCCACATTCTCTGGCGACTCCACAGAATGGATCGGTTTCTTTGACGCTTTTTCCTCGCTAGTTGACTGTAACGCCGCATTGTCAAACGTACAAAAGCTTCACTATCTGCGAAGTTGTTTAAAGGGTGACGCGTTGAAAATAATAAGTGGCTTTAAAATATGCGATGCCAATTACGAAGAAGCATGGGACTTATTAAAATCGCGTTATAAAGTCTTTTTTTTTTTAATTAGCAATGTCGTCAGACATTAAAAAGTTGGTCAGGTATCTTATTAACCTCAGGGGCCAGGTTGTACAATCAACTTTAGCAAGTTCTAGTTTGTCTTTGTCGTAAGCGTATATCCACACAGGCAGGTCCAGCGAAGGGAAGATCCCACGATGACCAAGAGTGGTGGCTTACAACTTGAAACAGAAAAACTAAGACGCAAAGAATTACACAATGACAATATTAGAAGTAAACACGCAAACGAAAATCATGACTATCAACTAACTCTAAGTAACTTAAACTGACATCAAAAAGCAATTTAGGCACTTCAGAAATTTGGAATTAAACCAATCAAAAATTAATAGTCTACTTTTTGTTTTTTTTTTTTAAACAGAATACATAGACTCCATTCTTAATTAATATTATTCTTATACATTAATTTATTTATATATTTTTTTTAAATAATTTGTCCTCGAATTGTACTTTAGTAAGCACTGCAAGGGTGCGAATCACAACCATACAAATGCAATGCAATCATTTGATGAACAGTCTTTTGCAATACATATCACAACTACGAAATTCAATTACTCAAACTTATATCTTTTTTTTCCCCTCCAAAACTCTACTCTTCTAATATACATAACTATATGTACAAATATATTACTATACTTATTATTAATTTATATTTTATTCTCATTATCCCTAAAGGACTTTGTCCAGCTTTACCTTGTGTAGAAAGTGTATTAGCTCACTAAAATGATACAAATTAAAATTATTAAAAAAATCTTTTAAATTATTACAGTTGTTAAAAAAGGTATACGTGCTTCTAGCGGCTGAAAATTTACTACAATGAAAAATAAGGTGATCACTAGTCTCTCTGATTCCACATACATCACATAAATCAGTTACACCTCTCAGAAATTTGCTTAAAAAATTCCTACCGTATGTGTGTCCCATCATCAACCTGTTAACTAATTTGATATCATGAACATCAAAATTACATTTTTTGTTAGTAAACCAAGGACGCCTTTTGATATCACTGATATTACCCGCAAAAAAACTACCTTTAGTACAACTGTTGTGTGTCTACAAATAATTAGTGAGTAAGGTCAGTAATGTAAACACACATGTGACTGCAATATTATGCAAGCAAAGCGTTAGCGGCCACTTGCTTTGAAGAAACGATCAAATTGCAGCTTGCACATGTGGGTCACTTTTTGTGAAGACATTTGTAATGTTGTAAGCGTTAGCGGCCACTTGCTTTGTCGAAACGATCATATTGCAGCTTGCACATGTGGGTCACTTTTGTGAAGACATTTGTAGTGTTGTATTTTCTCAAGACGATGAACT